TAAATCATATATCATCATCCTACTTTCCCTTTATTTAAAGCTCCCTAATCAATGGCTTCCCATTATAGCTAGAATAAAATCCAAACATCCATGGCTTACAAATGTTTGTGAACTGCTTTACTTCTCCAACTTAAACTTTATTTACTATCCTCTGCTGTGGTTCACCCACACTGACCTTATTTCTACTTCTTAGAACTCTCTTCCTTCAGGTCTTCTCATTACTCCCTCATTCTGGCCATTCTATTCTCAGCTCCAATACCGTCTCCTCAGAGAGGCTTCTCTGACTATCCTAGTACAAGTATTGCCCAGCAAATGTAAATTGATACAGCCACTATGGAGAACAGTGTGGAGGTTCCTTAAAAAACTAAAAATAGAACTACCATATGACCCAGCAATCCCACTACTGGGCATATACCCTGAGAAAACCATGATTCAAAAAGAGTCATGTACTACAGTGTTCATTGCAGCACTATTTATAATAGCTAGGACATGGAAGCAACTTAAATGTCCATCAACAAATGAATGGATAAAGAAGACGTGGCACATATATACAATGGAATATTACTCAGCCATAAAAAGGAACAAAATTGAATTATTTGTAGTGAGGTGGATGGACCTAGAGTCTGTCATACAGAATGAGGTAAGTCAGAAAGAGAAAAACAAATACCGTATGCTAACATATATATATGGAATCTAAAAAAACGGTACTGATGAACCTAATGGCAGGGCAGGAATAAGGACACAGACGTAGAGAACGACTTGAGGACACGGTAGGGAAGGGGAAGCTGGGATGAAGTGAGAGCGTAGCATGGACATATATACACTACCAAATGTTAAATAGATAGCTAGTGGGAAGCTGCTGCATAGCACAGGGAGATCAGCTCAGTGCTTTGTGACCACCTAGAGGGGTGGGATAGGGAGGGTGGGAGGGAGGGAGACGCAAGAGGGAGGGGATATGGGGATATATGTATACATATAGCTGATTCACTTTGTTGTACAGCAGAAACTAACACAACATTGTAAAGCAATTATAGTCCAATAAAGATAAAAAAAAAAGTTTGCCTAGCGATGCCACCCCCTCCCCCCAGCACACACATGCTCTATCACATTATCCTATTTTATACGGAATAGTACCAAAATAGTTTTTAAAAATCAGATGACATCCCACCACCAAAATGACCATAGTTAATATTTTCAGACATTTCTTGATTTTACAAAAAAAAAATTGTGATCTCACATTTTTGACTTAATTTATTTAAATAGGAAATGTTTTCACTAATGTAAGTGGGAAATTGCCAAAATTGAAGATAATGAAAATAAATACAATGAAAACTACATATTTAATTTTTTAGCCTTTAGAAGCTCTGAGGCTGAGGCCTGTTCTGTTGATAAAAAGTTATCAAAAAAAAGTTATCAACATTTATAAATGTTAAACATTAAAGATCAATGGCATCAAACCAACATTTTCTCCTTGACATAGTCAGGACTAAACGAGAATTGAAAGAGAAATAACTTTCTCATCAAGCAATTCAGTATGATATAGTCTTCAAGATGACTCTAGTCATCTTCTTTATCAGTAAAGTATTTCCCCCAAAAGGGAATTGTGATAATAATTGTAACATTTATGATACTAATTGTTTTAGTTAATGTGAAGTTGAAATAAATAACTTTTGCCATGGACTAGGGTAAAAATGTTGTGGTGAACTAGTAAGAATTAGTGGGGGGAAAACCTGTAAACTCACAAAGTTTATTATAAACTGTTCCAAGGTGAATTGAGTGACATGAAATGATATTATTCAAAATTAATGTTTGAGTATATTACTATGGAGTTTCTTCTAAATTACTAATTCCTACATCATAAAAAAAATAGTATATGCCCCAGTTACTGAAAGAGTTCTCTGTTAAGCACTTTACATATATTATCCAATTTAATCATACCCATCCTCTGAAAGGTAGAAATATCTTATTTTAAAGATATGATAATGAGATCCTTAGAGGTTCAGTGATTTGTCTAAGATTTTATGACCAGCAAGGCTGTTAAAGCCCTTATTCTTTTTAAAAAAAAAAAAAAATTATTTATTTATTTGGCTGCGCCGGGTCTTAGTTGCAGCACTCGGGATCTTCATTTGCCGCACTTGGGACCTTTAGTTGTGGCATGTGGGATCCATTTCCCTGACCAGGGATCGAACCCCAGCCCCCTGCATTGGAAGCATGGAGTCCCAACCACTGGACCACCAGGGAAGTCCCTAAAGCCCTTATTCTTAACCAGTAAATCTTGTACTAAAAAAGATATGAAAGAATGTTATGATGTGAGTGTACAGTGATGTCTGTTGACCCAGGAGCATGTCTTTGGAAATTAATCTCTGATTTTTTAGTTGTAAGAAATGGGAGGTTGCCCAAATGGCCGCCAAATTTTCTGTAAGCTTACATTTTACAGCTCTTTTAGGCCCCAGTTGATCACAGGGCTATTCAGTTTTGAAGGATAACTTTAATGTTCCCTTCCGTTCATTTTTATCTTAACTTTTGGCACTATTTATTTTTAAAAATAAATTTAAGTTATTTGCATAATATGTTACCACCTCATATACAAATGAATAAAATAGGAACACTAACTTTCAGGCATAGGAACAACAACGCAATTCAGTTTCTGTTATCCACTTAATTAAAATTGAGGGCTGGGACTTCCCTGGTGGCGCAGTGGTTAAGAATCTGCCTGCCACATAGAGAATGGACTTGAGGACACGGGGAGGGGGAAAGGTAAGCTGGGACAAAGTGAGAGAGTGGCATGGACATATATACACTACCAAATGTAAAATAGATAGCTAGTGGGAAGCAGCCGCATAGCTCAGGGAGATCAGCTCCGTGCTTTGTGACCACCTAGAGGGGTGGGATAGGGAGGGTGGGAGGGAGACTCAAGAGGGAAGAGATACGGGGATGTATGTATACGTATAGCTGATTCACTTTGTTATACAGCAGAAACTAACACAACGTTGTAAAGCAATTATACTCCAATAAAGATGTTAAAAAAAAAAAAAAATCCACCTGCCAGTGCAGGGGACACGGGTTCGAGCCCTGGTCCAGGAAGATCCCACATGCCTCAGAGCAACTAAGCCCGTATGCCACAACTACTGAGCATATGTACTGGGACTGCTGAAGCCTGTGCACCGAGAGCCTGTGCTTTGCAACAAGAGAAGCCACTGCAATGAGAAGTCCGTGCACCGCAACGAAGAGTAGCCCCTGCTCACCACAACTAGAGGAAGCCCATGCAGAGCAATGAAGACCCAACACAGCCAAAAATAAATAAATCAATTAATTAAAAAAAAATAAATTTTAAAAGGAGGGCTGAAATTAAGAAATTGCCATTTAAAATCTGCTGATGCATTTACTGTAGGGATGTTGTTGAGGACATCACTATAGTTACTCATTAGCCCCTACATCAAGATGACTATATAAGAAATTTTTCATTCTAAGTGTCATAAAACGTTTTTTATTTCTATAACTGAACTGACCACGTTTCCTTTGTTGATCTGAGTGCCAGGAAACTAACTTTTATTTTCAGTTTTCCTGTTTTATTGTGCTATTTGTGTAAGTTGCCTCATCATGATAAGAAGTAAATAGTATTGTGCTTCCAGGGAAACTTTTTTCATACTTTTCAGATATTCAAAAAATTTACCTAAACCATTGTCTGTTGTGTTTACTAGTAAGATATAATGTACCTCCTCATTTCTTACTAATTTTGTTCATATGAATCAGGTACTATATAACATCGATTGTTTGCCAAGAATACTTAAGTATTATTTTAAATAGTTATATTTAATTGTAATAATTTACTTTTATAATTATTATTACCAAATATTTCCACGTTAAGATATGAACAGATTAATTATTTTAATTCTGGGGAATTATATTTAAAAAGTTTGCAACCTGTAATGAGAATGTCTTGGTTTTTTTGTATGTAAGAATGAGCTGTAGTCAGTTTTTCTCTTATCAAACTCAATCAAACTGTCATGATTCCTATGATACCTCTATCTAAAATAATAGATACTGTATGTTTGAAAGCATCTCATTTTGGGAATATAATCTAATTGGTAATTTTAATTAAATTAACTTGTTTATAAATGTGTTTATTGTTTGGTGGGTATATCATTGCATTCTGTTTATAATATTTCTTAGTATTTGTTCATTTTTGTGATACTGTTATCTGATAATTTGAGTAAATCCCAGTTGAATTATGTTGCCACATTATGTCTTCAAAAGGGCATAAAGTCAGTACACATGCTTGAGTAATGTCTGGTTGTTTTACCCTTATGTTTCCAGTTGGCAATTTGAAATTATGGCTTCAACTGCACTTTAAATATGTGATAATAACATGTGTTTCTAATAAGGGCCAGCACCATTTTGTTCAGATAGTGTGAATGGTTGTCACTCATATATGACGAATGCACCTTCATCTGCTTCTTTGATAGTCCCCTAAAAACCATACCCTCAAATCAGGCCGATGAAATTAGCTGCTGTGTAAATTGTGTGTCTGAGTGGTTCATTATCTAATCACCGTCAGAACCACAGTGATAAAGTAGATTGAAGCAGGGAAGAGGTCTGCCAGATGATTTCACCACCACCACCACCCCCCGCCCCAAATCCAGTTTCCCTTGGAAACCCTAATAGTGCAGTTTAGAACTTCAGGCTCTCATGCCTGGAATACGGTATCTTTTAACGTACCAAACCTGAAAATACCAGTAGTTCTGGAGCATAATTTTCTTTCTTTAAAGATCATAATTTTATTTATTTCAATCAGTTTTTGAAACGTTGAGGCTCTTGAATTACTGTTTTGCTGCTAGTGCCCTAAACAGTACTAAATAGGAAAAAAAATACTCTGTCCTACTTGTAAGAATTCAGAATAACTTGAATAAATTGTTAACCTTCTAGGAATCTTGGCTCACTCTAATAATGAACTTCTGTGTTATTTGTTTATTGAATTGCTTCCCTTTAATTTATTTTAGGTGCTTTTGAAGATGATGATATCACGCATGTTGAAGGAAGTGTAGATCCTATTCGAGATATAGAAATTATACATGAAGAGCTTCAGCTTAAAGATGAGGAAATGATTGGGCCTGTTATAGATAAACTAGAAAAAGTGGCTGTGAGAGGAGGAGATAAAAAACTAAAACCTGAATATGTAAGTAAAATCTACAGCTTCTTTAGATATTTGAGTTCATTTTCCTTGATTAAATTTTTAAAATAAAGCACATACAATAACTAATATTGTTATGGAATTTTAGGATTCAAGGATCATTTCTGTTAAAAAATTGTTGAGAAACCTTGTTTTCTCTTGGCAGCGAAGGATTGTGGTGACAGGCTGTTTAAGGTGTTCTTAGGAGACCATATATAGCAGTAATATTGAGTATTTTATGGTTACTATGTATATCCTCAAGTTTTGGTGTTGGAGATGTGGGGTTTTATGATGAAAACTTACTGGATTTAGATAAAGGACTGAATATGAGTTTTGTGGATTTGGAAGAAGTGATTTACATAAGGAATTGGTCTTCCACAGTGATTGACCGAATGAATGCACTGTTAAAGTAGACAGATAATTTTAATCTTTTATGGTGTGAAAACACATGTCATTGTCTTTAATATTCAAATGTGTTTTCTATCACATTGTAGTGAATAATTATTAGTAATATTGTAGGAAATGTTTCAAAATCTGTTTTGAAGCTTTTAGTTTAAGTATCATCAAATTGTCTTTTACCTTAAAAAAGCAGCCTTAATTATATATTTTCTCATTAATTAACATCTTCCACAAACTGTTCTTGATTTTTATGTTTTTTTGTTATAGGAAGAGATTTCTTTTCTTTTTAACTTTTCATGTGTTTTTAATATGTTTATTTTTTATTTTCTCATTTTTGGAAACTGATTATCTTTTTGCTTTCTCATTTATTTTTAATAAGTTTGGAAAACATACCTTTGATTAGGGAACTCTAATAGGAAGAAATCAATTACAGAATCAACCTCTAAACAGTCACACTACCAATAAATTATGGTCGAAAGTGCCTGGTCTTGGAACAGGGAGACCTGTATTGTGCTACTGATTTCCTTGAGAGTCTGGAGTGAGCCCAAGTCATTTTACTTTTCTTAACATCATAGTTACTTCACTTTTTCCCTGTTCAAATAGAATGGAGAAGGGAGAGCGATTTGTCTGAGGAAATTGTACAAGATTTAGGATGGAAAAGGGGATTTCACATGTGGGTATGAAAGATATCCCTTTCTGTAAAGGGGGAAAACGTCCTGAGACAGATGTTGGGATTGAAGGCAATTCCTTTGCCCCAAACAGCATGGTTTCTGATTAGAGTAAAGCCTTATGCAGTCATCCTTTAGTTAATTGAAACTTACTGACATCCATATATATTTCAGAAGCATTAACTGTCTTCAAAATAAATTTGTCGATCTTACTTTTACTTAAATGGGGAAAAGAGGCATCACGTTCTTCTGAAATTCTTGGGCTACCATTTCCTGGCCTTTCTTCTCAAAGAAAACTAGAATGCTGAGTGTTATTACTCCTTATTTCCCCAAACTGTGATTATTTCATCATTTTCTTTCCTAATATTAGATTCAGCTGCTTCAGAATAAATTATAGATTCATGTTTCTCAACCTTTTTTTTTAAATTATCACTGTCCCTAAGGAAAAAAATTGAATTAAATTTCAATTAATTAAATTTCTCCCTAATGAGAGAAATTAAATACTAACAAGTAAGAATTTGTTGGATAGACTTGAGCTTTGGAGGACCACAAAACATTTTAATAACGAAGTTTTTTCTCACCCCCAAGAACCAATTTTTGCCCCTCTGGGAGTAATATTACCCCTATTGTGAATTCATGCTATAGATTATCTTGTAGCAAAGCCAATACTGGTAAGTGTGGTAAAACAGATGGCTTTTTAGAAATTTTTTTTCAGTTTGTTGTTAGCAAAAATAGGATTCTGGTTGGGTCTATAACGCAATTTGGAAAGAATTAACATCTTTACAATACAGAATCCTTCAGTGTAGGAACATCTTATATTTCTATTTATTGAGCCAAGCACTGTTGGGCACTTTTTATATATGTTATTTAAATCTCACAACATGCAAGGTATATATTATTATCTCCATGTTAAAACTGAGGAAGGCCAAGTTTCAAGAGGTTTTGTGAATTGCTCAAGATTTCATACTTAGTAAATTGTAGATCAAGTTTTTCAACCATATTAGTCCAACTACAGGGCCAATATGTTGGTTTTTTTTTTTTATGCTTTTAAAAATTGTAAAGCATTAACCTCATATGTATAGTTTAACAAATAGCTGTGATACAAATGGGAGTAAAACCTACTTGCAGGTCAAGAAATAGAATATTGTTTAGCACCCCAAAGTATCTCCATCACTTACCAGTCTTAAAACTTTCTGTCTTCCCACAGCTAACCATAATCCTGAAATTTATAATAATATCCTTATCGGTGTATGTGCCACCTGCAATGATATGAATTATTTTCCTGAGTGCAAACTTTATATAAATGGTATATAAAGTGCAAACTTTATATAAATGGTATCATGTTGTATCTATTTATATGAGCATTTTCATTCAGCATTATTTTGTACGGTTCATTTATGTTGCATTTATCTTTAATTCATTTGTTTTTCTTAATGTAAAATATTTCATTGAAAAAAAATACCATAATTTTAAGATCTGTTCTACTGTCAGTGGGCATTTGAATTTTCCCTCAAAGTTTTTTATAATCATGAGCAATGCAGCTGTGAACATTCTTTTACATCCTGATGCATGTAAGGATAAAGTCTTATATTTATCATAGAAGTCAGTAGTATATGTATATCTTCGACTTTACTAGATAACACTGTTTTCCTAGTCTGTGAGAGTTTATCCTGTTGTCAGTACTTGGTATTATCAGACTTTTTCATTTTTGCAGTTTGATAGCTGTGTAATGGTATTTGGTTATGGTTCTCATTTGCAGTTCTCTAGTTATGTAAGATTGGAGACCTTTTTAAGTATTGATTGGCCCTTTAGGATTTCCTCTTTTGTGAAGTGCTTGTTCTAATTATTTTGCTCATTTTCTATTGGATCAGTGTCTTTTTCTCAATAATTTGTGAAAGTTACTTATATATTTTGGATATTAGTCATTTGCTTTGAATGGATTGCAAATATGTTCTCCAATTCTGTGGCTTTTATTTTTAATCTTTTTAATAGTATCTTTTGATGAACAGGTGTTAATTTTAAGGTTAGTGTTTTCCTGTCTTGTTTAAGAAACTTTCCTATCTTAAGGTCATCAAGATAATCTCTTGTATTCTAAAAGCATTATTGTTTTATCTTTCACACTTAGCTCACTAACCCACCTGGAAATTATTTTTTGTAAGTAGTTTAAGGCAGGCATCCAATTGGACTTTTTTCCCCCATATGGAAAACCTGTTGGTCCAGCACCACTTAAAAAAAAAGACTGTCCTGGGCTTCCCTGGTGGCACAGCGGTTAAGAATCCGCCCGTCAATGCAGGGGATGCGGGTTCGAGCCCTGGTCTGGGAAGATCCCACGTGCCACGGAGCAACTAAGCCCGTGCACCACAACTACTGAGCCTACGCTCTAGAGCCCACAAGCCACAATTACTGAGCCCGCACACCACAACTGTTGAAGCCTGCACACCTAGAGCCCATGCTCTGCAACAAGAGAAGCCACCGCAATGAGAAGCCCGTACACTGCAACAAAGAGTAGCCCCTGCTTGCCACAACTAGAGAAAGCCCGTGCGCAGCGACAAAGACCCAACGCAGCCAAAAAAAAAATAAAAAAGACTGTCCTTTCCCTACTCCAGTGAGGTGCCTCCTCTGTCATAAATCAAAGAGCTTTGGCGTCTTAGCTCTTTCCTGAGGATCGGCAGATGAGTCTAGGTAAAAGTGGCCAAGAGCAGCAGTGGGATCCCAAACCTGCTGAGGTGAAGGTGAGAAGGGAAGATGGAATGAGGGGTTAATATCCCATGGATTCTATGGTCTTATGTGTGTTCCTTACATCATTTTTATACTTTCCTCATCCCCTGCTGTCCCAGTCTCTAGTCTAGATCAGGCACAATTAAAGTGTGGTCCTCACACCAGCAGCATCACCATCACCTGGGAGCTTCTTAGAAATGCAAGCTACAGATCTACTAAATCAGAATCTCTGGGGGTGTGTTTTAACAGGCTCTCCTGTTATGCACGCTACACAAAGTTTGAGGATCACTGCTTTAGAGCAGCCACCAGCCCTCTACCCTCCACTCCAGGGTAGAAGAGTCTTAGGCCTTCCCCTACCCTTTTCTTGGTCTAGTAATGCCTCACTACCTTTTTAGGTCCTTGGTACTATTAAGAAGATAATATTTTTCTCTATTTAGGCCTGCTTTATTTTTGTCTTTATAGGCACAGTTACTCTGAATCACTTAGTTCATTAGTAGTGAAAATGGAGGTCTCCTCGATACAATTTTACCAACAGTTTGCTTGATATCATAATATAACAATCTGACAGTTCATGGCGATAAAGACCAATGTTAAGCAGGGAAAGACAGTTTAGGATGAGTTATTTTAAGTAGTTTATTTATTAGTGAATATTTTTACATTATAACTACTTTTGCCTTAAAAAAAAAGTAAGTTACAAACAACAACATTTATAGTATAATCCGGTTTACGTAAAAAATGATAGCTGTATTTTTATAAGTGCATCCAAAGAGGTATGGAAATATGCTCAATTGTTATGTTTTAACAGTAAACATTTGGAAACTAAAAAAGGTTTTTAATGGTAAAGTGTTTGGAAAGGGACTAGTGGCTGTGAGAGAGTGAGTGATTGGGGTGGGCACTTTGACTATTTACCCTCTATACCTCTCTGTTACTTGACTTTTTTTCATTGCAATGTATTATTAATTTTTTTAAGGAAAAAAAAGGTCAAGGAAATTATTTCCTTTAGGTGGCCTCCAAATAAAGAGGTAAATGCATATATATTGTCCTTAGCTGTTTCTGACCTATATTCATCAAACTATAATTTTAGCTTTGCACTAGAGAAAGGGTTTTGAAGTTTCTATCCGAGATTGGAAAAGGAATGTGGTAGGAGATGTGAAGCTGGAATAGATGCATACATGAGAAGTCATAGGCTTTAGGATCAATTTCATCTTCACTAACGTGAAA